CCAGGCGTGGTAGCGCACGCCTGTAGTTCCGACTACTTAGAAGGCTGAGGCGGAAGGATCACCGGACCCCAGCAGATTGAGGCTGCGGTGGCTGGGAACATGCAACTGTATTCCAGTCTGGGCGACAGAGTGTGACTCCAACTGAAAAAAAATGCTTTTCTTGCCTTTTTTTTTTTTTTGAGTTGGAGTCTCACTCTGTGGCTCGGGCTGGAGTGCAATGGTACGCTCACGGTCACTGGAGCCTCCACCTGCTGGGCTCAGGCGATTCTTCCACCTCAACCTTTCAAGTAACTGGAATTATATAGGTGTGCGCTACCACACCCGGCTTATTTTTTCTTTTTTCTTTTTTTTTTTTTTTGAGTTGGAGTCTCACTCTGTCGCCCAGACTGGAGTGCAGTGGCTGCTCCTGGCCACCGCAGCCTCGACCTGCTGGGCTCCGGTGATCCTTATGCCTCAGCCTTCCGAGTAGCCGGAATTACAGGTGCGCGCTACCATGCCCGGCTAATTTTTTGATTTATTGTAAAGATGAGGTCTCACCTGCCCAGGCAGGTCTCGAACCCACGGACTCAGGCAATCCACTCACCTCAGCCTCCCAAAGGCGCGGGATTACAGGCTGAGCCACCGAGCCCGGCTATATTTTTTCATTTTTTGAAGAGACAAGTTCCCACCACGTTGCCCAGGTTGGTCTCAAACTCCTGAGCTCAAGGCAATTCTCTCGCCCCGGTCTCCCAAAGTGCCGGGATTACAGGCTTGAGTCTGGCCTTTTCGTGCCTTTTAAAAAACTGCTGTTCGTTTATGGGTTCTATCACAACTTCATTCATTACATATTTTCATTTTTAATGTCTGCAAGTTTAGCATTTGTAAATAGATAAAGTGTATACAGGTTGGCAAATTGGGGAAGGAAGTTTTTGGGTATTTCCACATACCTATGTGTACTGGGTCTTTCCAACATAGTTTCTCAGTTCCTCCCTTCTCTGCCTTTTCACAGAACTCTCTGGAAGTCTTATTCCACAGAGCTTATTTCACAGAGCTTTCTGGAATTCCTTCTATCGTTTTTGGTGGCCTTAGGTATCCAAGCTGGAAGCCAGGGTCTCATCCTTTAATCTTCCTTTTCTAATCTCTTACATCCAATTAATTTCCAGATCCCATCAAGTTCAACTAATCTTTCTGTTCCATCCAATTCTGTCCACTTCACTGCCTCTACTTTAATTCAAGGTCCTATTATTTTGGGCCTTATGTTGAAACAGTCTTCCACCTCCATCCGCTCACTAAAACAGTATTTATTGACTGTTGATTATGCACTAGGTATTGGAGAAGCAGTGGAGAAGAAGGCAGACATGATTCCTCCCTTCTCAGAAGGTACGACACAGAGTGAGGAGCATCGAGGGCTATAGGACCGTGAAGCAGGGGCACCTTGCCCAGCTTGAGGGAGTTAGGCTGGAGGGAAACATTCCCAGAGGAAGAAACATCTAAGAGACCTGAAGGATGATTAGGAGGAGTTGTTGGGGGAAATGAAGGAAGAATATTCCAGCCTTGGAGCCTAGTACCTGTGAAAGCCTGCAGGTTGAAAGTGTGGCTTGTTGGCACCTCTGGGAACTGAGAGTCAAATGGTGGGACACAGAGATTTTAAGGGAGTGAATAGATAGAACTGAGCCTTGAGAGGTAGGTTGGGGGTAGGAATGTGGTAATAGAAGCCTTTGGAAGGAGATTGGGTTTTATATGGAGGGCTACGTGAAGTCACTGAAATATTTTATGCAAGAGAGTGACACTGTACAGAATTCCCACTTAACAAGATCCCTGGAGCCTTGATGTGGCTGCAAGCATAGAGAATGGATGGGCAGCTCATCAGGTATTTCTTTAGGAATATATTCATACAGGAAAAAACAGTATCTAGCATTGTCTTGCATGTCTTCAGACTTAATAGTAATGGTATTATATATACATCCCTCTGTGAGGTTGAGCTTTAACGACGTGATACATTTCTGCTCTATTTCATACATTTTCACTGTTGTATAGTACTCTACTCATGAATATATCCAGACTGATCTATCCTTCTACTGACAGTCATTGATGTTTTCCTATTTTAGGGCTAGTGTGCTTAACATTCTGTATACATGTGGAAGGGTTTCTCTAGTTTCTGCTGAGGAGTAAAATTACTGGTCTCTATTCTCTACACTTTGTGACTCTATGAGATACTGTAATGCCAACTTTTTCCCCCCAAAGTGCTCATCCCAGTTGACTCTCTCTGCAGCAGCATGTAAAAGTTCCTGTTACTCCTTATCCTCTTGGTAGCGCCAGACTTTTAATGTTTTCTCAATTGAAGGCTGTGAAATGGTATTTCATTGTAGCATAAATATAAATTTCCATTATTACTGTAAGGTTAGACATTTTACTCTATGTTTATTAGGCATCCCTTTTCATAATTTTTGCCCAGGAAAATGGCTCATGCCTGTAATCCCAGCACTTTGGGAGGCAGAGGCGAGAGGATTGCCTGAGCCCCAGGGTTCAAGACCAGCTTGGGCAACTTGGTGAGACCTTGTTTCTACCATAAATCAAAAAATTAGCCAGGCATGGTGGGACATGCCTATAGTTCCAGCTACTTGGAAGGCTGAGGTGGATGGATCGCCTGAGCCCAGCAGGTCAAGACTGTAGTGGCCGGGAGTATGCCACTGCACTCCAGCCTGGGCGACAGAGTAAGACTCTGACTCAAAAAAAAAAAAAAGAAAAGAAAAGAAATGCATGATGATAAATTCAGGATAGTGTTTATCTTTGAGGGAGAGTTTCTATTAGGAAAGAAGTTTTAACACAATATATTTTTCCTTAGCTGAGTGGAGGGGGTCACAGAGTTGGGTTTTTTTTTTTTTTTGCGTTGGGTTCTCATTCTGTCATTCAGTCTGGAATGCAGTGACATGATCATAGCTCACCACAGCCTTGACCTCCTGGGCTCAGGAAATCCTTCCACCTCAGCCTCCTAATAGTTGTGCTCCACCATGTCCAGTTAATTTTTAAAAAATTTTGTATACTGAATGTTCTCACTCATAAATGGAACCTGAATGTTAATCACAAAAGCACAAGTGAGGGATCAGCAGTCCATGGGCGCTGCCAGGAGAGAGAGAAAAGGAGGGGGCATGTAGCATCACAAAGGGTTCCTGGTCCTAAACCAGGGGAAGTGAGGGCCAGTTGGAAGTCCAGACTTCATTTTCACAAAGCCTGCTTGTGTAACTAATCCTGACTTGTACCCCGCATATCTATAATAAAAAAAATTTTTAAATTTTGTAGAGATGAGGTTGTACAATGTTGTCTAGGTTAGTCTCAACTCCTGGGCTCAAGCAATCCTCCTTCCTCGGCCTTCCAAAGTGCTGGGATTACAGGTGTGAGCCACTGTGCCTGGCCAGGATTGTTATTATTATTATTTTTTGAGTAGGAGTCTCACTCTGTCACTCAGGCTGGAGTGCAGTGCCATGCTTCCGGCCACCACAGCCTCGACCTGCTGAGCTCAGGCAATCCTTCCGCCTAGCTCAGGCAATCCTTCCACCTTAGCCTTTCAAGTAGCTGGAAATACAGGTACATGCCAGCATGCCGGCTAATTTTTTGATTTATTGTAGAGATGAGGTCTCCCCAAGTTGCCCAGGCTGGTTTTGAACCTGTGGGCTCAGACAGTCCTCTCACCTCGACCTCTGAAAGTGCTGGGATTATAGGCAAGAGCCACCATGTCTGGCTGGATTTTTAAAAAAATATTTCTTTGTGTGTTTGAACTGTTTTAATAATATATATATTTTTTGAGTTGGAGTCTCACTCTGTCGTCTAGGCTGGAGTGCAGTGGCACGCTCACGGCCACCGCAACTTTGACCTGCTGGGCTCAGGCGATCCTTCCGCTTCAGCCTTCCAAGAAGTTGAAGCTACAGCTGGAACTACAGGTGCGCACTATCACACCTGGCTAATTTTTTGATTTACTGTAGAGCTGGGCTCAGTGGCTCAGCCTGTAATCCCGCACTTTGGGAGGCTGAGGTGAGTGGATTGCCTGAGCCCGTGGGTTCGAGACCCGCCTAGGCAACTTGGCGAGCCCTCATCTCTACAATAAATCAAAAAATTATTTGGGTGTGGTAGTGTGCACCTGTAGTTACAGCTACTTGGAAGGCTGAGGTAGAAGGATCACCGGAGCCCAGCAGGTCGAGGTTGTGGTGGCTGGGAG